TGAAAATAAGTTAACACGTCCTCAGAACGTGCACAATTTAATGCACAGTTTCTGTGCATTTGCTGAATATTCACACACACACACACACACACACATATAAATATATGTATACATGTGTGTGTATGTATGTATATATAAGACTAATTAGCTAGTTACTAACACTATGAGTATTCTTTACAATACACATGTTAACAGCTGTTAAGTGTCCTTGGTATGAAGACAAGCTGTAGCCCAAATAATGCTTTGACAGTTCTTTTTCAAGCTATTGTTAAACATAGGAATGCACAATGATATTTGAATAATGTAAACATCAGCAGACATTTGCTTAAAAAATCATCGGACAGATGTTGTTTCGATTTTTCACATACCGACTCAGACTTCTTTAGAAGGGTGGTGATGGGAACCAGGGGTCACAAGGTCTACAACACAAACAGCCATTTTATTTACTATCCAAAACCACCAGTGAACCTACACGTCTTTGAGTTTCTACATGTAATGTTGATGATGGTAAATGAATGGTAAATGCATGTACCTCTCTGCCATCAATGCATATTAAAAAGCATGTTTTAGACCAGAACCTTCTCGAAACTAGCATAAACCTATGTCTCAGGCATCAGGCAGGGTATTTATAACCATTTCATGTAATATCTTTCTGTGACGGAGCTTTTAGAAGAATTAAACTGTTCAGACGTCTGGTTCCCATCACAACCACTGTCAACAATTCTGACTCTGCAAGTTTCTCTAGAACGGAGCATTTCAGACCAAACCACTCTGAATGACTCTGTTTACATCTTAATCATTTAATTATGACGAAATATTGCAAAATCAGTTGAATTTCCCTATAAAGGCACATATTCAAACTTTTTTTGGACTCAAGGTGGTTTAAAGGGGACTTGTACTATTTTTTTTAATTTCTGCATAATTAAATTATTAAGATGTAAACAAAGAATACATTACATGAAATGTATTAAGATACCTATAAGGTTTTGGGAATAAAATCAATGGCTAGATGTTGAACTTCAAGGTAAGAGACAAAAGAAGCAGAGCCCAGTGAAGGACTGCGATGGTGGAGATAATGCTAGGAGTCTGACAAAAGTGAAAGCAAAACCCTCATAGGCTTCAGCATTGAAACACTGCAGAGAGCAGCAGAACGGTTGGTGTGCTGGCATCACTGAGAGAGAGGACCCACTGGTTTCAGCTAACTTCACACCTAGTCAAACTTTGGAAAAAGCTCAAAAATGGGAGGGGCACTTTGGGAGGGGCAGTGCAGTGATTTACAGGTTTGGAGTCGGGGCTGGGAAGGGAGGCAGGTAGGCTGTGCTGCTGCGTTTTCATAGCTAATGTTAGCTACTAGAAAATATGGAGAGAGACTATCTAACAGAAGATTTTTCTCCACCACCATCCCCATCTTCGGATGGGGAAGGTATTTCTGATCAGGCAGAGGCTAAGTCTTTTACAAACCCATTCATGTCAGAATGCTATATCCAGGGCATCATGATGAATGAAAAGCGCCCAGAGAAACTTCTTCAGAACTACATATGAAAACTTCAGAAGTCGTATATGGTTTAACTGGTCATGGACAGCAAACAAAATTTGCATTGTGACCACTGTAAAGACCAACCGTATAAAAAAACAGTGGGTACATTTCTCTACAATGAAGCATTTCCCATTAAAATGCACTGAATGACTTTGTTTACATCTCAGTTATTAAATTATGCATACATTTTGAAAAATCCGCTAAAATAGATGAAGTTTGAGGGCTGCCATCACAACAAAGAGGATAAAACGTCTAGGGTACGGCATTATTCCCAAATTAGTACTTTCGATAAGAGAATTACTTGGGGTTTCCTGGTTTGTCAAAGAAACATTGCAAAATCTATGCATGTTAATACATCTTAGGGTATTGCAAATAAACAAACCATGCTCGTTGATTAAAACGGTTTGAAAAGCTGGGCATTCCCAAACTTTTGATGGGTGGTGTATACAGTCTTCCTGTATAGTGACTTGCAGTGCAGGAGTAGAATCTGGCAACTTACCAGTGAAAGCTCCTGAGGGGAACTGGATATGGAGACGGTCCAGCTGCATGCAAGACTTCATTATTGCTAATGCTGTTCTTCCCAGGGCGTTGTTAGAAACTCAATCACTGCGTACATTGTTGAGCAGGGAGAGCATGGCCTGTGGTTGTCCACCCTTTCTCTGTTTGACCATTGCAGAGTGCAGGGGATTCTGTTCTCCTGCGCCCCTCGTGAAACTGGTGCCTTTCTTTCCATTGCTGTCCCGTCTGCACCGCAACAACCACAACAACATAAAAACACCCTGTCAGTCCATTTACACTGCATTGAACAGCAGTCTGTGTTTGCTGACCAGAGGGCTTACTTGGGATATTAGATTACTGTAGATTATGCTCGACTGGGCCCTTGGCTCTCGCTACTGTAGAGGTCCAAGAGAGCAAAAGACAAGAAGTTGTTAGTGAAAGACAACACATTACAGCACAAAAGACTGGCCTAATAACATAACACAGTGCATGGGAATGTTTTGAATCCTGGAGTGATAAGTACTTTGGGTCAAAGGACGCTACACAGGAAACGCAGGAATTCTTTTAGAGGTGTGTCTGTGCTGACAGACAAGGACAACGGGCCTCCAGTTTGAGGGATATCCGGTTTAGCTTTTGCCTCGTATGCCAGAGCAGGGGCCGTTTAATATACGTAAACGGTTAGGATACCTGCTTTGCCTACCTTTCTAGCAACTAACACCAAGAAACTTACAAGTTCCTGCAGCTGTTCTGCCAGATCTGGTTTGTGGCTTTACTCAAGAGAGCAATGACACATTGCACAGTCTGGTTTAGGTGTTGCAGTATTATGTAACAGTGAGATCAACTACACTAGCAGATCTTAGAGGCGCTGGATGAACAGTACAAGCACTGGATGGGTTACTTTGGACAAATGTGTCAACAAAATGTAAAATTCAGTTATGTTCATTCATCAAGCATTAAGACGGCCCTGCCCTGAAACCCGGTCCTGCACGTGGTTCATAGACGTTACATGATAAGGGGGGAAAAAATTGTACATAGCGCTGTAAAGCGGGAGGACGTCAGAGCACTCTCAGCTGTTCTGAAATCAGCTGAGGTGGCTATCAGCTGATTTTCACTTCTGATATTTCCACTCACGCTTACAGACAAATATGCTTAGTATGTCTAGTATTTCAAACAGACAGGCATGGCACCCGCATGGCAACTACTGATCGCACTTTCAGTTCTGAACAGGAGGGTATTTGAATGAATTTGAATAACAGACTTAACGTCAAGTTTTCAAAGTAACGTGTTTATTTAAAATCCTTTGGGGGAAGATCGCTGGATCTTTGCTAAAGCAAAGTTGAAGGCGACGGCTAATTTTCCGCACACCAACTAATAATACAACAATGTGTATGTCCATGTTTCATCGCTGAATGCATTACAATAAAATCTAGACTGTAATATGTGATTTAATGTGTTATGTAATTTTCTGTAGTGCAGCATTGTATCGATTAGCCTCATCCCTTTGACACAATCCACAGTTTTTTATATCTTTTTCATGTTTTCATTCACCATCTCTCACCACAGCATGCATTACACAAATATGTCATACAACCATGGGAATCCCTGTGGTGCTCAACCAGTCCTGACGGCTAGCCTAGCCATAAATGGAAGCTATAGAGACAAGTTTTTCTTCTGTTTTTAACCCCTTCAGCCAAAAAAAGGAACCAAACCGAGGTGAAGTGAGGTAACCCTGCTAACTTTAGCTTTTAGCTTTCCGTCCTCCTCATCTGATGAGTCATTTCCATTGCTTGAGTAATTCTCTACACTGCCATGATGATTCAAAGACAGTTACCACAGATGCCAAAAGATATTTAGCAGTAACATTATTCTAGCTCCTACTGCAGCTAGCGAAAGAAAAAAAATTCAAACAGCCTGCCCTCAAAAATCAGCCCCAAAGCAGTTGCAGTTTTTCAAAAATTCAATCATCAGAAGGAGGTTTTCCAGACTTTAAACCAAAAATTCTTGCTGTAGAGACACCGTTGTATGCAGTGCGTAGGCATGTTTGCAACAGATGTGCTATGGTTAAATTTGTCATTTTGAGTGCCTCTTTAAAAGTCCCTTTTCTGTCATATCAATTAGTCATTAAAATACTAATGAGAAAGCCTTGAGCTGTTTTACCACACAGCAGTGACCTAAATTGGTGACCAAACCTCTTTGAAAACAAAGTTGGAGAAAAGATTTTCTAGCTTTACAAATTATATATTAAAGGAATTTAATAGGTTTTAAAATTTCTACATAATTCAAACATTAAAATGTAAACAAAGTTAGACAGACTGGTCTGATGTGATATTCATTGTAGAGGAATCTGCCAATTTGGATTGTCTTCATCGTGATGGCGAAAGGAACCAGCGACTGCGATGTCTACAAAGCAAGTATAGCCATTTTATTTGCCATCCAAAATGAACAGTGGAGCCTGTATGTGTCCAATGCGTTTTCTATGTCAAACTGATGATGGTAAAATAGTGGTAATTTGAAAACTAAATTTGCAAACTATTTTGCTTTACAATGTCTTGAATGCACGTCTCTGGCACAAATGGTTATGTTTTAGGCCAAAATCCTCTCACAACTATCGTAAAACAGCCTCTCAGGCATCCTTCAGCGTATTCATAACCAGGCCATGTAATGGCTCTCCGTGAGGGAGCCCTTAGAAGCACTGAACTCCTCGGACGTCTGGTTCCTATCACCACCGCTTTGAACAGTTCTGATTCGGTAGGTTTCTCTAGAGCGGAGCATTTTTTCACCAAACCACTTTGAATGACTTTGTTACACATCTCAACGATTTTATTATGCAAAAAGTTTTGAAAAATAGATGGAATTCCCCTTTAAGTTATTTTTGTTTTATTAGCAACGTTAGCTTAACCGTAGTCGTCCATCTTCACTGCGCATGCGCGCGGCTCACCGCTGTCAGGGCTCGGCACGGCGACAGTATGGCGGCGGGCTGCTGCTGGAAGGATGCTGCTGTCGCCTCTGCGCTTTCTGCTGCCTCCAGCATGTGAGCGGACCCTCGGCGGCGAGCGGAAAGTCGACGACGAGAAAGGCCCGTGGCCGTGAACAGCGAGGATGGCCAGACTCGCGGATTATTTCGTGGTGGTGGGCTACGATCTCGACAAGAGAGGTGAGAGGACGGGCGGCTGGGCTGAGTAGCTCCTTCCCCCCCTCACTGAGGCTAAGCTAAAGGCTAAGGCTAGCGCGGTTCAGTCATGGGCACGGTAAACAGGAGGAGGCGGAGGGAGAGAGGAGGGAGGGAGAGGGAGAAGGAGGCGGGACGGCCCTACCCGAACCGGGACAGGGCCACCTCCCAGCACGGCTAAGTGTTCAACTCTCAGCCCGCGGATGTCAAGGGCCTCTGGAGCTTACGGGGGCTGAATCTCAAATGGCCGCCTACTCCCTACATAGTGTGCTAACTTATCTGGGTTCTGAAATAGCGGGTGCTGCACCCACAGTGGTTCACCATGTCTTCAAAAGGGAGGCGTTTGGGACTCGGCCAAAAGCAAATCAGGTCGCGGATTGGGGCGAACGCTAGCTAGACAGCAGACGTGTCGACATAAGGCTCACTGAAAGTTGGGACGGCGTCTTGTTCTGGTTCTTGTTCGTTGCGTTGGAAACGAACCTGAGCGAGAACTTTCAGACAGACTATATATGTGCCGTCGTAACGTTACATCTGTGGGCGGAGCCATCAGTTCAGTTAGCCCAGCAAACTATATAGAACCGGTTAGATAACTACTTGCTTTGACCTGTGCATTGAAAAGATGGTTCTTTGGTGAAGGGAATGGTTCTGTTTAGTAGCACGACTTTGCAGAATTTGCAAGCTTGAATGGTTCTTCAAACTGATGGGGAATGTGCTGTATATGGTTCTGTGTAGCACCAAAAAGGGCTCGTATATTGATATGATTCCCCATCAGTTTGAAGAACCATTTAAGCTTGCTTTGAGCTGTGCACTCTTGAAAAGATGGTTCTTTGGTGAAGGGAAAGGTTCTGTTTGGAACCACGAATTTGCAAAATTGGTAAGCTTATGGTTCTTGAAACTGATAGGGAATGTGCTGTATATGGTTCTATGTAGCACCAACAAGGGCTCTGCTGATATTGATAGGTTATGATGTCAAGAACCCTTCTCAAAACGATTGTGTATATAGAACCATATACAACACATCCTCCATTAATTTGATTAACCATTTCACCATGCAAAGAACCATTTAAGCATAAAATGGGTCTATATGAAACTCATAGTTCAAAAGAGAACCATCCGTTTCACTAAAGAACCACTAAAGAACCGTCTTTTCTCCTGTGAGTGTAAGATACTGTCATACTGGTCTGGTTTCTGTTGAAATGTTGCTTAAGTGTGGTCGGTTACACACTTCAGCTGACCTGACAGCATCTTATCCGAAAGATGATCTGCACAAAACGGCGCAGCACAGTAGTTGAATATATTGTACTGTTTTTCCTTCATGCATACGTTTAGGTGAATTAGAGACTCTTGCACTGCATCTTCTTCCACTCTTGTCCTGCCAGCCCGCCTCAAAGGCAGCCATCTCCATTTTCTGTGCTCTGTTGTTGAGAGGCTGATTGTTTGGGACCGTTACATGAGGCTCCCCCTGTTTGTGGCCTAGATTCAGGCTTATAATGTCCCGTTCAGCATGCATTATTCACGCACCCTTATCTGAAGAAAGCAAGTCACTGGAAACTACTAGCTAACCTTGGAGGTGCTTATTTATAGAGAGGCTTTGGTCCATGTCTTATTCATGAAGCGCGTGGAAAACGTTAACACGACAAGTCCCCGAAGTCTGTCAGCAGCCCAAGAGATCTTTCTTAAATGCATAATTCGGGAGGCAGCGTATTAGTTTTCTTCTGTTTTTTTCTGCCCATGAAAGCTTCAGTGTGGTTGTATTCAGCCCTGAGCGTGTGGCAGGATGTTATATGGCTGTTCTGCAGAACGCCTTCCCTTCCTGTTTCTTGTCTGCTACCTTGTTTCCACACGCACACATACATCATCATCTGGTCTGCAGACCTTTAGGCGCACATCAGCAGCCCAGAGCTCTGGGAGCTGAAAGCAACACGTATTTCACTTCTCGTTAAATTAGGGGAGTGAATATTCCAAGAATAGAAGCTGCGGTGTAGAGAAGCTAGGTTCTCTGTAAGACAGGTGGACGTATAACATGCTTTTGAAAGCATAATTTCTGTAGAACCGCGTTCTTGCGCTGCTTGTAGTGCTTCCAGTGAAATAACATGACAGCGTGTGGCATTTAGCACCTCGCACCGCTTTAAAGAGCTGCTAGTCTGAAAACGACAGTCATCCTGTGATCAGTATCTCTTAAAGCGACTCTGTATTGGAGCTGATGCCCAGGCCACAAGAGATGGCAGTCTGACGTCATCATCCAGTGCCAGTGGACTGACTTCACTGTTGGGGGATACAGAGCCGGGGGATGTGGGTCTGGTTTGCTAGCACAGGTGTGAAAAGTGTTGCTAGTTCAGTTTTCTGCTCTGTGCGACGTCACAGGAATGTCTGGCGAGCGGAGGCGGCGACAGACACGTTTGTTTTTTGCAGCAGAGCTCAGCGTCTGTGTTGTCGATCAGAAAGACGTTTTCTAGGCCTGGTCCTGCGCTCGTTTCATTTCTGTGATGTATTACTGCAATAAAATGTCAGTCTCTCAATGCTCTGCGTTCCTTGCTGGAACCTGTCCACAGATTTTTGATAAGGAACAGTGCAAACAGTCTCTACCTGCCTGCAGCCCTCTCTCCTGATAACCATGAGTGTGCACTACCTGTCAGACATTTAGGGACACCTTGCTTTCTCTTGACACTTAAGTTTTTCCTTTTGTTGCTTTTCAGTTATGTAATAAAATGCCTGCAAAGGTTTTGTTAACATAAAATAGCCATTTCCTCTCAGCTTTTTCATATGAAAAGATTTTCCAGGATAAAGACTTGGCAGGTTGATTTTCCAAACTACTGTTAAAAGCAGTAAATTTGGAAATCTGTTGCCCTGAAAAAAAGCTGAAATGGTGCTGATGAGTGCTGAAATCACAGTAAACTTGTGGGGTTATGACAGTGTTACAGAGGTAGTGCTGCCATAAATATTGTCCCAAATATTTATTCTATTCTGGAAGAGCAGAATGTTTATGTGAACTGGGCTTCTGTACTGAAATAGCTCTATTTTGTTCATTTTACTGTAATAGTCCCCCCTGCAGAAACAATCTGGTCCCAATTACTGCATTTTCTAAATGTATGCATATCTGCATTAGTAGATACGTTCATGAAAATGATTGGAAGTCAATGGAAATCGGCCCGCAATTCCCATATTGGTGCATAATGAATTGTTTTCTTTGAGTGATCCTGGTTAATCTTTTATATGTTAAGTTATTGCAGTCTGACCAAGAATACACTCTCATTTATTAAGTGTTTTGAAAAGCAGTGTGACCCCAAATTTTTGACGTTCAGTGCCGTGTTTCTGATAACCCCTCCGCACCCCCGAAGCACCATCGCAAGTCCCCCAGAGCAAAGATGGCAGAAAAAGGGTGACAAGAATGCACAGTCAGGGTGGAGTTCACAAAGCTGTCTGTTGTGAAACTGCAGAACATTGTTTGGACAGCCAACCTCCAGCCCAGGCGCTGGAAGAAATAGCCTGCGAATCGGACCCTCTGACCGAGGGGCTCCCTCTGCTTCCACACAGGAAGTGTGAAAGTGGTCTCTGGCTAGGGGATGCAAATCTAGAACCTCCTCTTCATGGCTCTGTCCAGTGTGAGATGAAGATGACGTGGCCCTTTTTAAGGGTGGACCCCGTGTGTTTGAGAAGACGGGATGCCTCTTGGGGTTCTGCTGCACACTTGGCCCACCCTGCCCCCTTTTTCCCTCCCCTCTCTCTTCCCTCACAGAGGAGCTCCAGCTGAAAACAGTGGAGCCCTGAACAAAGAGACCAGAGCGATTGTTCTCCCAGGCCTCTCTCTAAGAGCTATTCCAGGCACAGTTTTCTTTCTCCTGGCGCTGCCGCTTTTTCGAAATGTGAGCCATGAAAAGCGATGACTTGCCTATCATACAGACCTGTAGATCAGTATCATCTCACAGATTGTGGCAAGCTTTAAATAAATGAATAGTCTGATGAAAAGTTCAAATGGCTGCAAGTTTTTGCTATAATTTGTTATACTTTTATTTATGTAAATAACATTTAGGGCTATTACAGTCATGCAGTTTTAGCAGATAGTTAATTGCTGCATAAATAATTACAATTATTGATCTAATTGTTGTTTCTTGTTTGTGATATGGAACTACTATTAATACTATTTACTTGGTAAGTAACACTGGTTGTACTGGCCTTTAATGATACCCTACACTGGTATAAATGCTCCAGATTCTCACTCAGATGTCTGTAGTTATACAGAATCATGTGTAGAATCAAGCAAAGCCATATTTTTTCCTAGGAGGCAAAAAATAAGGAAAAAAAAACCCTAATTCTCTTAGCATACATGCTAAAACTCTCAGAATTGACTGCATAGGTAACTGCCCTCTGAACATGTTAGAGCACCTAGTGGGAAGTTAGAACTTGTTTTCGTAAGGCTCATGCTGTGTCACAGTGAATGTATTTACTCTTTAATTTGCATACATTCGCCACAGCACAGCTAGTAAACATTCTGTTTTTTTGGCATTGTATGATTGTGAAATCTAATGTCTGGGGAAATGATTACAGTCAGCTTAAGTAATTGCGATCATCTCAAATAACTGGGCTATCCTGTATAATTGTTATCAGGGGATGATGTAATAAACGTGACAGGCGTAATAACAGTGCGTCACTCTTCGAAAAACACAAAAGCCAGGTTGTTTGAGATTACTTATCAACTCCATGTGGTAAAGTATGTGATGGTTAGGCATGCAGTTTGCACAAAGCTAATTGGTAATAAGCTTTCAATTACTTTTTAGCTACATTAGCCTTTTAGCTCCAGTGCAAAAGTAAAGAAACAAAACTTCAGATGTCTTGGCTGATTGTTTACAATTGGGCTATAGGGAAAATGGATTCACTTTGTTTTTTGTATTCCCTTAATGGCTTTGAAAGCCTTCCCTAAAGCATTTGCTACCCCAGCTAATTTGAAACAGCCATGAGCTTGGATGAGCTTGGACAGCGCTTCAGAT